ACTTTACCTGTCTTTTTAAGAAGTATGTGTACCCTTTTAGTTTTGGTATGCAAGTTAAATTACCCAGTGTTCAAATGAGACAGTGTAGTAGATAATCTCTCTTTTCTCAATGAATATTTTATTGCATTTTTCCCTTCTTTTCGAAAAAAATGATGACTATCAGAAAACGGACTACAAATTGGCTTTTGACTCAATGCAGGAATGTATCTTTCACTAAAGTAAAAACAGGAAAGCCTGTTTTTAGCTGAATCAGTATTATTGGGTCATAAATCTCTCCTACTTGTTCTCTGATAGTTTAACAAGTAAGATAGCTTACTGGTGATAAAAATTAGCATGCAGCAGTTTTTGCAGCATTTACTCTACATGTACTTACTACCTTTCGGTGTGATACATTTAGGAATGATTACAAGATATATATCACTGTCTTGGAGAGCTCAGTTTGTGTGCCAGCATGGAAAAATAGTAGTCTAATTTTCATTACAGCTGAAGAGACAGAAAACATAAACGGAGGCCTGCTGGATAAGACCAAAGGCCCACCACACTGCTCTTGCAATGACCATAGACAAATGCCTATGGGAAGTCTGCAAACAGGATGTGAATGCAAGATGTGATGTTGTCATGCAACACGAACACATGCTCCAGGAAGGTTGGCCAATCATAGCTTCCAGGTTTGTGATACCCATCACCTCAGGAGTCATCATTGATTCAACTTTTTATACACAATGATTATTTCTATCCCAGTCCATCAATATATGGCCCAGTCAAGTCCTCACTATATATGAGGTCCAGATGATGTTAGTTGAACACTTCCTGTAGACATTACTATATTTACACTATGGTAACTTACAGCTTACACTATGGGACGCGGGTGGCGCTGTGGGTTAAAGCCTCAGCACTTAGGACTTGCCGATCGAAAGGTTGCCGGTTCGAATCTCCGCAGCGGGGTGCGCTCCCGTTGCTTGGTCCCAGCGCCTGCCAACCTAGCAGTTCGAAAGCACCCCCGGGTGCAAGTAGATAAATAGGGACCGCTTACTAGCGGGAAGGTAAACGGCGTTCCGTGTGCTGCGCTGGCTCGCCAGATGCAGCTTGTCAGGCTGGCCACGTGACCCGGAAGTGTCTGCGGACAGCGCTGGCTCCCGGCCTATAGAGTGAGATGAGCGCACAACCCTAGAGTCTGTCAAGACTGGCCCGTACGGGCAGGGGTACCTTTACCTTTACCTAGCTTACGGCTGTGACTCAATTATGTGCACAGGCTGATGCATGCAACTAAATCTGACGGCTCATAAAACACATTTTCAAAGCAATCGCCATGAAATGCAAAATCCCCACAGAACTCTGCATTGTGAATGTGTCCCTTGTAGGTGTATCTCCAAGGCCCCACATAACTGCCCCCTTTTTAAAAAAATCACATTGCCCAAAAAGGTGCACATGGTCTGAGTTACAAAAACAAAGTCATGCTTCACTTGGTAGGCTTTGATCATGCCTATGTCTTGGTGGTAGGGAGAAGACAGGCTAAGATCTACAACAGGATCTGCTGCCCCTGTGATCCTGCTGCCTGAGGCAGTCGCTTCATCTTGCCTCATAGGTGAGTCAGCCCTGAGCTAGAGCATAATTGCTTGCAGTCTGGGGGGAAAGGAAAGCTGATTCTAGCACAGGCACTATTGTTAAGATATATCAGGCAACTGTTTTTCCTTTATATAAAGTAGTTCTAACTGATTGATATTTTCACATTTGCCAAATTTCTATATTTCGAAGGCAACTGGTGCAATCTCTACACCCAAAAAGTAACAGCTGATTTTGAGCCTTATCCACTTACATGACTCAAAACATTTCCTCATTTCAATTCCACTTATGCACACTTCTGCCTAGGTCATCACAAAAGAAAGCCAGCGGATCTTTAGCAACATGTAAGGACCAGTCACACAATAATTACGTGGACCATTTACCCCAAGTCTAACAGAATTAATGAACTATATATATATATATATGCTTTCGTAGATTTTCACGGGTACAGGAATGCAGGTTTTGGTGTCCTCGGGTGTCTTCCCGTGTAAAAGTTGGGGTGTCTAGGCGACGTTTCGACGAGGTCTCACTCGTCATCTTCAGGCTGGTGCTTTCGGCTTCTTGTTACTGGAACAGAGCAGGATCTCAGTGTTTGAGTTCCTATAAATACTGTTGAGGGGGTGTGGTGTATAGCCTCCAATGTTCTGGGTAGAGAGGAAGTTCCCAGGCTAGTGTGCTTTTTCTTCTTTTGTTCCTTAATTACTTGAGGGATATCTTTGAGTGATTTCTTGAGGGATATTCTGAGTACCACTTAGGTGGGTCATTAGGTGTGGATTAGTTGCTAAAGCCTTCGTGTCTTGACCTCTTGAGCTTTGTGAAGAGTTTTTCTGAGAAGATGGCTGTACTGCACTTAGTTGTGCTCTGGCTTGGCTTCGTGTATAGGGGCGAGCTGTGGTTTTGTGTCCTGTGCCAGCCAGATCTGTGTAGGGATTGCAGGGGGGTGCAGCATCCGGAGGTGCCACCATGGTTTGGCTACTGGATGGTGTCTGTAATTTATCTGTGGAGAGGGTCTGGGTTTGGGTCTGGTGTGGTTGATTGGTGATGGCGTTCTGTGTGCCTCTGGATCTGGTGTCGGTTTTTGTGGGGAGGGCTAATTTCCAGATGTCTGGCAGGCGGGATGTGTCGTCACGCTTGTTCATGTTGTGAGGGTGTTTCTCTATCTCGATGGCTTCCATGATTATTCTCTTGTGGTGATGTTCCATGTTAAAGAGCAATTTGGAATCTGCAAAATTAATTTCGTGTCCTGTTTCTTTCATGTGTTGGAAAAGAGAGGAAGTTTTTTCTTCTTTTTTGACGGCATTCTTGTGTTCTGCGATACGTGCATTTATTCGTCTGTTTGTTTGTCCAATGTACGTGGCTGGGCAGACTTTGCAGGGTATTTCATAGACCCCTTGGTTTTCCAACTGGATTTTATCCTTGGGGTTTCTGAGGATATTGGCTATTTTTTGGTTGGTGCAAAAGGCTGTTTTGATAAAATTAGCAAAATCCTCCATAAACACAATATCAAAACAGCCTTTTGCACCAACCAAAAATAGCCAATATCCTCAGAAACCCCAAGGATAAAATCCAGTTGGAAAACCAAGGGGTCTATGAAATACCCTGCAAAGTCTGCCCAGCCACGTACATTGGACAAACAAACAGACGAATAAATGCACGTATCGCAGAACACAAGAATGCCGTCAAAAAAGAAGAAAAAACTTCCTCTCTTTTCCAACACATGAAAGAAACAGGACACGAAATTAATTTTGCAGATTCCAAATTGCTCTTTAACATGGAACATCACCACAAGAGAATAATCATGGAAGCCATCGAGATAGAGAAACACCCTCACAACATGAACAAGCGTGACGACACATCCCGCCTGCCAGACATCTGGAAATTAGCCCTCCCCACAAAAACCGACACCAGATCCAGAGGCACACAGAACGCCATCACCAATCAACCACACCAGACCCAAACCCAGACCCCTCTCCACAGATAAATTACAGACACCATCCAGTAGCCAAACCATGGTGGCACCTCCGGATGCTGCACCCCCCTGCAATCCCTACACAGATCTGGCTGGCACAGGACACAAAACCACAGCTCGCCCCTATACACGAAGCCAAGCCAGAGCACAACTAAGTGCAGTACAGCCATCTTCTCAGAAAAACTCTTCACAAAGCTCAAGAGGTCAAGACACGAAGGCTTTAGCAACTAATCCACACCTAATGACCCACCTAAGTGGTACTCAGAATATCCCTCAAGAAATCACTCAAGATATCCCTCAAGTAATTAAGGAACAAAAGAAGAAAAAGCACACTAGCCTGGGAACTTCCTCTCTACCCAGAACATTGGAGGCTATACACCACACCCCCTCAACAGTATTTATAGGAACTCAAACACTGAGATCCTGCTCTGTTCCAGTAACAAGAAGCCGAAAGCACCAGCCTGAAGATGACGAGTGAGACCTCGTCGAAACGTCGCCTAGACACCCCAACTTTTACACGGGAAGACACCCGAGGACACCAAAATATATATATATATATATATATATATATATATATAATTGCGGCATGATAAGGGAGTAAAACAGGGATCTTGTGATATCTGCTGCTGCTGCTTTTCAGTGGATTCTAATGTTGCTTATTGTTTGATTAACTGTATTTTTTTTTTGAAATTGCATTAAACTATCGAAAGCTGCCTTGAGTAGTACATGGGGACTAGAAAGGTGGGATAGAATTTTATTTTAATTTTTTAGAATAAATAAAACTGGAGGAAAGCTTATTCTCACAAATCTCCAACAGTAAGTAACTGGATCAGGGGCAAAGTACCATCTAGTCCAGCATCCTGTTCTAACAGTTGCCTATGAGAATTTTGCAAGCAGCAGCTGACTGCAATAGTACTCTTCCCCCTTCTGATTCCCAGGAACTGTTATTCGGAAGCATATTGCCTCTTACAGTGGAGGCAGAACTGTAGCTATCATGCCTATGTTCATATTATTATATAGGCATATTAACTTGCATAGTGCTACTTAAAACTATAGATTGATGACTTAAGCCTAGGAAAATTGGTATTATCATATATAGGTTATAATTCATATCATCAGGAGAACATACACTTTTCAATGCAACAGTGTTCTTGCCATGCACACAGCATCTCAAAAATCCCACCCCAACGTAAAAGAAGGAGCACTCTGAAAGAGGATTCTATATCCTATTGCATTTTAACAACTTTTTAAAAAATGACCCAATATCATGCCTCAAGATGGTTTTTGTGATTCCAAGATTAAAGTCTGTATGAAACCCAGATTACCTGCTGCTGTTTAGTTGCTAAGCATGGTTCTTATGTATCTAGACACCAAAAGCAGTATGAATCAGGGAGGAAAAACAACCACCAACCATCTCCTTTATATAATTCATTTCACTTAGAAATTCCTTTTGCATTAGGAGACAAACCTGCACACTTCGAAATCATCAGACAAGTCATCATAAAACGCAGGTTTCTGAACAGCAGCCGATGCAGCAAGCCCTCTCCCAGCAGGTACTCCATTTTCTGGAACTGACAAAATATCACTGTCTGGGCCTTTCTCTGAACCACTTTCCTCCTTGCTTGCTTTGACTCGTCTCATGTTCCTTGAAGGCTCTGGATCCTTGCGGCTGCACTTGTCCTGGTGTTTTCCACCTTGTCTAAAGGAGCTCCTTGCCTCCACAGAAGACGGTGAGCGGCAGGTTTCTTTACACCGTGAAATCCTTCTCCTGCGGTGACTAGGAGTGCAGCCTTCAGGCTCAATCTTCTCTTGCTTCTTTTCCCCACCTGTCCCCATAGTTACAAGTTCAATGGCATTCTTCCTGGAAGAATCATCTGTCCGAGTGTTTGAAGTACTCCGCCTTCTCATTCTCCTGGGCATGTTGGCTCTCTCTCTCTTTCTAACCAGGGCCCAATGGTTCTCATCTGAAGATGATGAATCGGATGATACTTTGCGCAAGGCATTCCATGCACGATTTGCAATGTTTGGGTGCAACTTGCCATCCTTCTCTCTTTTTTGCTTTTCTGCATGCCCATTATTCTCCTCAGGCTCTTTCCTCCGCCTAATCCTTCGCTTCACTTGTTTCCTACCAGTTTCTTTACTAGCTGGACTCAGTACTGTGACAGGGGTCGAGTTTTCAAACTTATCTTCTGATATGTCATGCAAGGTGGGAGGTCTAAACAAAGCAGCAAGCGAAGGAGATGGATGGAAAATGATAAAACGAAAAGAGAGAGAAAGAAACGAAACAAATCAGGATTTTGAAATGAAAACAAAAATAATTGTGACTTAAACAGAAAAAAAGATATGGAAAAGACATAACAAAACACTGAAAATGACAAACCAAAAGTAGATTTGAATGTAAATCCATGGAAGGGGGAGGGTTAGGCAAAAGCAAGAGCTACGGATCATTAGATAAAGAAGACTATGCATCAATCAGATTAGGACCACTCTTTTATCACGTACCTACAGATGTCCTGAGTAGAAGGGCAGACAGATAACCGTGACTGGCTTCTGGGTGCTGTCCCTGTGGTAGGACTGCTTGCCTGTTGAAAAAAGTTAGATAATTTGGAATCTTTATCAATGAAATAAAGAGTCGATATTTTACTGCTTTTCCACATGATTAAAACAAAAGTTAACTTGTGCAGCTCTTTACGGTGTTTTCACATCCACGCACTTCTAAAATACAGGAAGTGCCTGCAAAAGCAAAACCCTTTTGAGGAACTAAATGTTCTAAGGGCTACAGTTGCAGTCCACATACATATTTTATCTTGTTTGAGGAACAAACTTCTGCAGGCTAAAGGTTTCATTTTGCAGTTGGGTCTACTGAGAGCACAGAGCATGAAGGAAACAACAGCTGCCAAATTTCAACAACGATGAGGCTCCTTACTGGAACAAAGTGAACTGCACTGATATTGTGCTGAGTAAGGGCTGAGGCAGGGCTGCCAGACCGTTGCAGTGTGGGAGGGCAGAAGCAACATGAAGCTTAAATACTATTTTTAAAGACATATCATCAGAGCAATCAAGTTCACTTTCAGAAACTATTTACGTGTCCAAACATCTGAAGCAAAACACTTCCACAGTATGAGCGAGTCCCATCATAAAGCAGCCACAGCAATTTGCAGACTAAATATGTTTTGGCTAGAAAACAAGATTGTTCCATGGTAGCTAGAAGGTTACTAACAATATAGTTTTGCACATAGCTAAACTCTGTAGTTAGCTTAATTGTTAATGTCCCGAAGGCTTATGTTATGCACCAGCTACATTACTCTTAAAGCTCTGAACTGAAGTCCTCCTTGGCATAAACCTTGTGATTAATCAGTATTCTGGCTGGAGGTATAGCACAGAAGACTGCTTAACACACACTGTTTCACGGGACAATGTGAATGTCTTTAGTATTATGAACAGTTTCTGAAGTGATGATTGGACATAAACATTACTCTGAAGACAGGTATGCCTATGAATATCAGCTGCTGAGGAACAAAACCAAGACCCTGAAGAGACTTTCTGTAGACTCCACAAAATCTGTCACGTTTAAAATAACAGAGCAAGTGTCAGCATAACAAAGAGCTCCTAACATGAGTTTGACCAAACTGTGGGAGGCAGTGGAAGACAGGCGTGCCTGGCGTGCTCTGGTCCATGGCGTCATGAAGAGTCGGACATGACTAAACGACAACAACAAATGTCCCTTAATAGAGGAAAATGGCCAGTAGGGCTCAGAAGGCACAGTTGAGCTGGAGGGTTGCCACTGCTGCTCCTCCTTATATACCAGCACCCACTGCCTCAGATGTCCCTCACATGCTGCCCAAAGGTAGGGCTGGCCTAAAGTCAGATTTTCACACAGACTGAGTTATAAATTTAGATGCAGATCACTCTGCATGTTCATTTCCATTTCCATCACGATGCTAACTCAGCTGATATGTATCTACATCCAGGGCCATTACGTGTGACAATGTGCACTGGGACCTTTAGGCTGAGTAAAACCCACTAAAATTAATAGAATTTACTTTTAAGTGGGCATGCATAGGTTTACACTGTTAGTTTTTAAGAGACACCCACACTTCGTAAGCTTATGGTCGCCTGGCTAAAGATGACAGTATAATTCAATTATAAATTTAACCAACTTGAAACATTTTGGGACTCATTATTGCTTTTTAGAAGCACAGAACTTATATGAGTATGCTTGATTGCTATTCTTTATGGCATAATGTTTATTTGCTGTGGTGATCCTAACACACAACTCACAGACACTGCCAGCCAGATGTGTCACATCAAACTTTGTGCAGTAGAATGTACAAACGAGACCTACGTTGGGAGGGGGTGGGAAAGAATAATTTCATGTTCTTGAGGGTTTTCTTTTTCCCATATGCAAACATTTCAATTAACATTTCTGTAAGAAGAACTACAAAATCGGAACATTAGGGGAAAGATGCCTGCTGCAGATATTGGCCACAGCTGGTGGGTATATGACACATATTGCATTCCTTCTTTTCTTAACATCTGTGATCAGTTGTGGTAACTCATGTGGGAGTTAGGCATGCGTATCCAGAGATAAACACAGCCTTTTTGTGTGTGTATTTCATGTATATTTATTCAATTTTTTATGTTGCTTGTTTTCATCCTGGAAACAAAGCTAGCTGAAGTAATTTGGGACACCCACTTTGTCTCCTGAAGCCTTCTGGACTACTAATTGCTTTATTATAAGTGGGCCTGGAAGGAACTGCTTCCTTTTCATCCTAAATAGCCATCATATGTACTGGGCATATACCTGGGTGAGGAAATCCATGCAATTGCCAGATAAAAATCACTTCAGCTTAACAGAAGTTGCAGTCCCATGCATGCTTTTATTACTTTTCTATGAGGTAGGAATTCTTTAAAAATTCAGACCCCACGATGGAGTAAAAATGGACCAATACATGCAGCCCACCACTACCTATTTGGAATTTTGCAATCTACAAGCTTTTGCAGTTATCCTGATAAAAGCAACATCGTTCTTGGCTCTTTACACCTATCAAATACGTATTTTATTTTAATAGATTTATTTGTTTGTTTGTTAAATGTGTATACCACCCTTCGTCTGAAGATTGCAGAGGGGTTCAAAGGCATTAAAAAATATATAAAAACACAAAATACATAATGAAAACAAGGGGGAGACAAAACCAATAATCTCCCCCCTCCGCCGTCCTCCCAAACTTATTATTTTCCCACAGCTGGTAGTATGGTACAGAGGAAGCAAGTATATAACATGGCACACAGCAAGTACACAACATGGCACAAGGATCGTATATTCACTGCCCTCCTGGAGGATGACAAACAGCTGCAGAAACCATGTTCAATTTAGTCAGACAGCGCATTGAGTACATGATTCAAAATTAAATGATTTTTTAAAATATAAATTCTAATGCAATTGTCACATCAAAGGAAAAAAATATAGAAAATATGTGCAGCACATATAGAACTACTAATATGCAAGGTTAACATGTAAAACTTTGCTGTCGCAACCTCACATTTAGCACATCATGATTGTAGGCTGTAACTTGATTGGCTACACAAAAGACTTCTATTTCATTTCATGACAGCATAATTAACTTCAAATGGCAAATTCCTTTAATAGACACTTCATAAAAATACTTTATTTTAAAGTGCTATTTAAATGAAGGGAAAAAGTTACACCAGAGGACAGCTGCAGAAAATTCATCAACGCAGATTGTATCGGTAGCATAATTGAAGGCAGCAATACAAAATTATGTTTTGCAGCAACATATTTATAAACAAGAAAGCCCATTTCTTTATGGGAGCAGGGCTAGGCCTCAGAAACAGCACCAATTCTACCGGATTAGTTCTGGCCTTCTGAAATGTTTCTTTTGTCACTATGTCAGAACATAGCAGTTACATGGTGCTTTAGAGCACTCGCTTTCAACAAATGTGTCGTGAACCTTAATTGGGTCGCCACCGCACTTAAGATGGATCACTGCAATGCTGCTGTCCCCATTCAAAAAACAAAAAGAAAATCCTGGCGAATTGTTCTGAGCAAGGGTGAGGTAAGAAGTAATAGGAGCTTAGAGCCCCAGTGGCTATGAGTGGAATTCATCAGCCCTGCTTGCCCACTACACAGGGCAGGTTGCTTCCTAATTCCCAGCTAGTGGTGTGGTGGAGTCACTGTTCCATCTGGAGTTCTGCTACTTGAGCCGGCCAGGGCAGAATATGTGCGTGTGAAGAGGGCTATTTGTGAATTCTGGTGTGCCAGCTCCAGGCTGCCGCAGCAGAGAAAACACTCTGGCTGCTGGAATAGTTTAGGATCCAGAAAATCCAAGCCTGGTCCAATTCTGTCCCTTCTGCAGTGCCATTCTTTGGGGCTTACATCAGCTACGGTGGTGGGAACACCATTAGTGGCTGCCTGTCGACTGCCTATGCCACTGGTGGGTGCAGTAGGGTCCTCAACCTTGGCTGCAGACACCCCTCACCTCCCAGACAGGCAGAGATCACCAGTGCCAGGTGGAAGGATATCTCCATCATATCTTACCACCACCACAAACATGCACACATGCGCACACACACACAGCGAAGAGTAGGGCTCAGGGGTTAGAATTGATCTCTCAAAGGAATGGGTTCCTCCTATGGGATATGTGCCATCTTCCTTAAAAACTCTGGATTCTGGAGTTTTTTCTTATGAACCAATATGATTGCCTTTAAAAAACAAACAAAACAAAACCACTACAGTGGTGCCCCGCAAGACGAATGCCTCGCAAGATGAAAAACTTGCTAGACGAAAGGGTTTTCCGTTTTTTGAGTCGTTCCGCAAGACGAATTTCCCTATGGGCTTGCTTCGCAAGACGAAATGTCTTGCGAGTTCTTGCGAGTTTGTTTCCTTTTTCTTAAAGCCGCTAAGCCGTTAATAGCCGCTAAGCCACTAATAGCCGTGCTTCGCAAGACGAAAAAACCGCAAGACGAAGAGACTCGCGGAATGGATTAATTTCGTCTTGCAAGGCACCACTGTATATGCTCCCCTAACTAGGCAGTAGGGAAGCTTCAGCCACCTTGAGTGTATGGAAGCATGGGATATAATTTATGGTAACGAAATATATAGACAACTCCACAGAATTGTGACACTAGTAAAACATTCTGCAAATAAATTGGCACATCATTTTCAGCCTCGCCAAAACGTGATCCAAAAGCAAGGCCGTCAGTTACACCAAGTTCAGTTTCAAAGTTAGTGCCTTTTATTCTGGCATGTAAGAAGGAGATGTCAGGTGTACTCATTCATTCCATGGCTGACACGTTAGATCACAGCTTTTCATTTCTAAATAACTTAAATTTTGGGTTTTCACTCTTCATTTTGGCCAGTCCTCACCATCAAGTTTGAAATGTAGCTCATTTCTCTCTCCCCCCCCCTCCCGCAACTTGTAATGCTTTCACTTGCAACATTAGAGACAGCAAAGGGGTGGGTTCCCTCCAACACAATGAATGTGATGTGTCCTAGAACAGCATTAGCTGCCATAGTAACAAGCTCTTCTCCAGTCAGCATCATTCACAGACAAGATTGTTGAAATTATTGTCCATATAAATGTCATCATATTTGTGTAATACTAGAAGTCAAAATCAGAGGGCTGTGGTGGTGTTTTCCAAACCTTTATTGAGAGTTTGGCACATACACTGATGAGGATGGCTAACTGCATCATATCTAATCTAATCAGGACCAGAAACGCCTTACTCTATAATAATTAAGGGGAATGTCTGCGAAGCAATTCACATACTTAGCTGAAAGGTACTAAAATACTGGAAGTAAAAAGTACTGATTTGAAGATATGAATACAGAAATCAAGGCAAATTATTCTTATGAGGTCAATACGACTGTAGAGAGGAATAAGGGTGTGTTTACGAAGACATTCTTGGCTTTCATTTTCCTTTTAACAGATGTACTCAGTAATATTGTTATAGCTTTTAGCAAGTGCATTTTGGTATGTGCAAGTCAGTTGCTCAATTTAATAAACATCTGTTTATTACCCTGTTTGAAAACAAGCATAGTATGGTTAATTGTTACACAGGAATGCATTGTTTGCATATGCCTCTTTGGAAAGCCCACACATACCAAACCTTTAGTTGTTTATACAGATCATATCCAAGTGTGTGTGATGATAATGTGTCTAAGCCAAGATGAATTACAACAGGCTTCTCTTGCACAAACCATTATATTTATAATTTTTAAAAATAAATATCTACCATGCCTTCTGATTAAAGAAGTCACTGAATCTGCATAGCGATTTTAAAAAATGCATCTTCACTTCCATCAGTTTAAAGAGATCAAGTGTATCCAGAAACAAACTGAAAATGTTCCAATACAGTTTAAATCATTGAAGCTGCAAACCATTTTAAACACTCTGAAATCTTACTAGGGTATAACCAGACTTAGACCTGCAGCCATGGGCGTAGCCAGGATTTTTTTTTGGGGGGGGGAGCTGGGACAGGCCTTTTGTTGGGGGGGGGCATAACCTCAGTTGGCTATTTGGTTGTGATTGAGTTTTATCTACTTTTTACTGTTAACATTTAACTAAAAATTTCCATCAGGCTTTTATTGGCACATCATATTTTCGCTTTATTACTTATTAGGGAAGACCCGATTATTAAATGCCAAGCTCATATCTGTGGCCAACTGACAATGGATCAGTTTAGAACAAAGCGACTCGTTCTTTTTACTATGTGCTAAATTTTAAATATGTGCGATGAAGAGAATCAGTCTTCTAAGAAATCCTTTCACTCCCACACATCCGAATGTGGTTGTAACAAGAACTATTCAGTACAGATCTATGCAAACCATTCATTAAAAAAGAAGCATTTTTAAATAAATCCCTCTTTGAATTGCTTATACTTCTCACTGAGAAAAGAAGGAACCCTCAAATAAAATATGTGAACATTTTCATACAAGCAGATAGTCTCACACACACCAACATATTACAAAGAGTGGACTGTATCACACCAAAAAGAAACAAATCTAGATTCTTCAGAAATTGTTATTGTCATATTAACTCACACATTTCAAAAGCAATTAAACATTTAAAAAGAAAACACAGAGAAGGTTAAAAAAAAAGCAGCATGCTTTACACTGTAGAAATAGCTAGAAACCTCTGCTGGGAGAATCAACACTAAAATGTAAAATAATTAACATAATGTGAAATTCTAGATAGAATTCCTAGATTCTCCTGCAAAAAAAGGTAATTTCCTCCCAAATGGTACACCTGCTCTCAATGTTTAAGATAAAGGACAGTCAGGGAATGATCCAGCCCCTCCCCTACATGTATGCATGGAACTGCACATGAGGTAGGAGGCTGGAACTCATCACTATGGCGATCACTCTCTGCATGCATGCAAACCTACAAAAATATTTGAGAAATAAAATGTATTTCCTTCCCCCCCCCTCGAGACAGAGAGATGCATGTCCCACCCCTGAAAGAAAGGGGGAAACATGGATTTTCTGTAACAAATGCCATCCATATAAACAAAACACCAGCCGATTACCAGGAGAAGTGGACACTTTCCCATCCTTCCGTCACTTGTGCAGATTCACATACTGCCAGCAGAAACCTTTGTGTGTGTTTGTGTGTGAAGTTGCCGCTGGCAGGTAATTCAAAAGAAAGCACTACATTGTTTGAGCCCTTCTTTGATGTGTCTTTCCACTGTATAAATGAATATCAAGAGGAACAGTAAATTTGGCAGGTGGGGGAAAAGAGATTTACAATTGCTTGCCTAGGTTGGCAGGTTTACTCTAGAATGCCACTGCTTTCACAAACACCTAGCAACTACCGTGCCTTCAGGTGTAATAAGTTACTGTTCATATTACCCTCTGATGTAGTGCTCACCTTCTCGTATCTTGCTCAGCAGCTTGGTCAACTATGTTTAGTGGCCACAAAATGCAGCTATTTCTTCCTTACTCATTCAGACTCAGGAAATCAATTTCTTTCTCCATTTATTCAGAGTTTTCACCTAATCTGATTTTCATGCTCCAAATGACTATTATTATAAAACTTATTAATCTCCTTCCATAATCTCCTGTGCTCTTGGCACCACAAACATTATGGAGCAGACTGAATATCTATATCTTCAACCTGCTTTTGAAATGTGAAAATATATGGAAGGCAATTTGTCAAGAGTCTGCAAAATAAATTTAGACACACACACACACACACACACACACATATAAGGAATGGAAGGTTTGAGAGAGCACTATTCAGATCTAGTGAAGCCAATGGACTTTATACTGTTGACTTCAGTGAGATGTGGCTTGTTTCCAGAGTGACACATCTTGGCCTTGGGTGGGGACAGGAGTAAAAGGCAAAACCTTTGTTTAGTACTATGAGAGCAAGCCATAGTGATTCTTAGGCATGCATACTCCCTTCTCCAGTGCAGCCACAAGAAGGGAAGCTTTCACTTCTGCTTTAAATTAACCACAGCTTTTCATGAAATCTGAACCGGGACAAAATATGGTTAATCTTAACTATGGTTTGCTGAAACAATTCAATTTCAAACCATAGTTTATAGCTCACTTGAACAAACCATAGTTGAGGTTAACCACAGTTTACTATTTAGACAACACAGCAAAAGAGAAGCTCCCAGACTTTCTCCTTGTTGAGAGGAATAGAGGGCATGGGAGGGGTGTCTGCGATCAAGGCTTGCTTCAGCTCATTCTTGTAATGCTAAACCACAGTTTAGTGTTAAATGAAAACATACTCAGAGTATTACAAAGCCCATTTAAACATGCAGCCCAATCCTACTCATGTTTACGTTCTACTGTATTCAATGGGACTCACTCCCTAGTAAGTGTGCCTCAGATTACAGCAAAAACAGTATATGTCACAGTGGGTCTGCCTGAGAGTAGTTCGTAACTTACCTTTGAAATGTTACTTGAGCGGCTTGTTGAGCGGCCTGGAGATTTCTCATTCTGTAAAAAGAATAGTAAAGGTTTCTTAGCTTCTGTCTAAACCAGAAAATTAAAATTTGCACAGGATTATATTTTGCGTTAACTCTCAGCTTCTGAAAACATACAAAGTTCATGTCATTGAAGGATTACCAGCTGGTATCCAAAGAACTACTTTAAGCAAGCTCAAGACCTCAGGAATTTTAGTTATTTCTTCTTTCCACAGCAGATCTTTATGCTTTAATCATAATTTTTACAATCCCCACAATCTGTTGTCCAAGAGAAGAAGTTAGAAGCCCCTTAGGGCATGTGGAACTAATTATGTGTTTTTTTGGTTTCTAGCCATTGTTTAAAATTACTTAATAAATGTCAAAACTAGGAAAGAGAGAAAGCTGATGGTCTCTGTAGCTTCTGAATGTTGCTTTGCACAGCTGTAGGCACTATATGTGGGACACCACAAAGAGCAATATTTAAAGTGTATTTACAAATCAAAGAAAACCATGTACATCTAGGCATAAAACTATCTTGACTCATATGAATGGAGCCTGACCCTAAAACTCAGCTAGATATTGTTATGTATGATATACATATACATACACAGACACAAGGAGTCAAAGGAAAGTATTGCTTAAGCCAGGGGTCCCCAAACTAAGGTCCGCGGGCCAGATAAGGCCCAAGGGACTCGTTTATCTGGCCCACGGCGACCCCCGCCACCCGCTGCTGCCACCCGCTCTTACCGGCGCTGTGCTGCGTGGGTCGGAGGGGCAGCAGAAATAGCTTGTGCACATGTGCAAGCATTATTTTTGCATGCACAAGCGTTATTTCCTGTGCATATCCGGGTCAGAGGAGGCCTGTGCACACATGTACAAGCTATTTCCTGTGCTCCTCCGCCCCGGAGGTGCGCTGGAAATAATGTGTGCGCATGCACATGGGCACACGCTCCTCCGCACGATCAGCGCTGGAGACACCAGCCCGAGGCACGGTAAGTTTGCTGACCCCTGGCTTAAGCAGTAGTTATGCCCAGGTCAGCAGAAAGATGCCTCCTAGTTGAATGGTACTTAACTCCCAACACAAGTGGGCATATATTACAGAAACTTGCCAATGATTAAGTCCTTGAGGGATACCAACCATCAAGCAAAGCTTGAATTTGTTATGTTTCCAGTAAGGATTCTAGACAACACCACCCTGCAATATCTCAACTATGAAGCCCCTATTTCTTTTCATCGTGAGAACCAGCAAAAAAAGAGAAGGTGGTGATGTTCTGAGAGGGAAACCATCTTAGTAGGACAGATCATAGTTGGATCACCTACAATTTTGTCCTTGTGTATATGGAGAAACAAGTGCACCCAACTACAGACAAGTTTTTTCTTTGGAAAATTGGACAAAGGTGCAAAAGCCGGGGAGGTGGGAAGTAGAGGAGAATATCTAAAAATGGTTGTGGGCACAATGGGTGGGAGAGGTGCTTACTGGACTTTTCTGTGTACTTTTAAAAACATAACTGCACCACTGGTACAAGCAGCGATAGAGCTGCAGTCAATGGCTCACCATGTCTCCACACAATACCTCAGTTAGAATTGCTAAGCTAAAAACCTATGCACAAAAAAGAGCAAAATTATGTTCATTTCACAATCCATATGTAAAGATACTGCCATAAATATTAATACATTTACAGATGTTACTTGCTAATTGCTAAGGCATATGTCAAGCGCATTTAGGTTACGAACATCTATGGCAACAGAATAAAATACAGTACTATTTCTATATTTTCCCCGTCAGACGTATCTCTTATTCAGCTCTGGAATTTTTCTTTAGTTTCCTACAACATTAATCAATGCATCCAAGTAACAACCTAGTTTTTGACTTGTCTGAGCATGTCACAGTCACCTTCTGTTGCTTCTTTGCTCATGCCTAAATCACCTGGAAATCATTAACAGCATGTGAGAGTGCACCAACATTTAATACTAGGTTAAGCCTAAGGAAGCTTGAGTATTCATTTGCAGTTTTACAAAAGGTATGAACAGCAAAGTATATTTTTGTTGTTTCCTTCACCCCCAGCATGCAAACATGTTCTAGTTGCTGTGCAACATGTACACGGTACACTAGCCTGCCAGCTAAAGCATGCTTTTATAATTAAAATCATTTACACATTTCCAAGCCCAATTTACAGGCTACACATGAGAGTCAGGCATGCCAACTCTAGGGGGCAGAGATGTTGTCAGCCCCTTCAATATTCCTTAGCAAAGCGCTCAGCCCCCCAAATATCCAAGGAGCAAGGGAGGCCAAATCGAGCATAGTGCAACATCAATGGAGACTGGCACAGCCAGGCGCAAGGCCTAGCTGAAAGCTGCACTGGCTCACATGGTGTCAGGAGATGTTGCACAGGCTGGTGCAACCTCGCACCAGCCCAAGCCATTCCCTGCAGCATCTCCTGACACTGGGGGGACTTGCATGGCCTAGTAAAAGGCTGAACCGGCCTGTGCTGAATCTCCCATCACTGCACAGGCCAGTGAAGCCTTCTGCTACACCACGTCACTCTGGCCTGCATGGCATTGGAAGATGTGTATGACATCATGTGATGAATGTCACGCAAATATAAGAAGTCAGGTCCTACAAAGGAGAAAAAACACCTAGCAATGTTATCCATAAAGGATTTTGCTGGGCTTTCAGTCCGTGACTTCCTGGCTGCACAAATATATCACACAGCTTGCTTGAGATTTACTGTTTTCCCCCTTGAGTCCCAACAGAAGCCTATAGTCCTCTTCAACATTTAATGATTCTGTTTTAGAACTCCTATTTCTGCTTTAGAAAGTTAGTGGCAATCTGTTAGTATTAACATGGTTACTTCTTTGGAAAGTATGTATCAATTTCTAGAGAAGTGGGCATGTTAATGTCAAATAAGTGAGCAATTGTTATGAAAAGATGGTGTAAAAGCTATGCATGTAACAAAAACAAAATTATGACAAGGGCCAGTGTATATAAAAACAAAGCCTCACTCAATACTAAGTTCTATTGGGTTTTTTTTTTAAAAAAGAAAAAAATCTAGAGTTATGAAAGAAGCAGAAGTAAAGAGATGCTGTCACCACCTTTCCAAACCACAAAGGAGAATAGGTATTTTTTTACACCAGGAAAATCTATAGAATGAGGCTCACAACTACCATCTTTGATCGTCCTTTTTTCCAGTATCTCAATCAAATTTAAGCACTTTGATTAGACTTCCTTCTTCCCATTCTGATTAAAGTACATTTAACCTTCAAATGCAGTATACAAAACATATGAGAAAGAATGAAAGGCACATGTCTGTTCCATTTCTTCTTTCCTTATTTAAAGCTTTTAAAAATTCTATTTCTGAAGTAAAGTTTTGGTTTGAAGAAACGTGTAAGGGAATTCACACAACTGAATGTAAAGGGTACACAGCATATAAACTGTCTTGACTTTTATATGCAAGAGATCAACAGGAGATCAGCAGGTGGCCAACACGAAAGCTCATACCAATAACAAACTTAGTTGGTCTCTAAGGTGCTAATGGAAGGAACTTTTTTATTTTGTTTCAACTATGGCAGACTAACATGGCTACCTACCTGTAACTGTTTTAACTGTAGCTCTGGGAGGAAGACTGTCATTATAGTATTGTTGCACACCACCCCAATCTCTGAGAGGTGTGAGATTCCAAGGTTTGTGTTTCCTTTTGCAATGAGGCATAGTGGAAATGACACCATGGGTGGTTGTCTTTATGATATGTGGTTTATTTGGACATTTATAAAACCTGAGCCTACAATAAAGGGGTTTGCAGCATCAACACCCCAAAAAGGTCTTGTTTCTCCCATAGCCACAGTGCTGGATTCAAACAGAAATCAAACATTGCTCTCAAACATTGCTCCAATTCTCTCTCCAGTTTGCTGATTTACCTGCAGGTCACACCCCTGCACTTTTCAACTCTAGACACAGGTTTCTTCTAACTATCTCTTCTAACTCTCGCACAGAGTCCCCTTTCCTTTCTTCTCTTTATAGAATCATAGAATTGTAGTGTTGGAAGGAACACCAAGGGTCATCTAGTCCAACCACCTGTAGTGCAGGATATGACCCATCACCCAGGTGATTCCCTCAATACAGGAAGCTAGCCTGGCTTATATTTTAACATTTGCTGGATCCATGGGTTAGAAGGATCTTGCAAACTAGGTAAAGGTAAAGGTACCCCTGCCCGTACGGGCCAGTCTTGACAGACTCTAGGGTTGTGCGCCCATCTTACTTAAGAGGCCGGGGGCCAGCGCTGTCCGGAGACACTTCCGGGTCACGTGGCCAGCGTGACATCACTGCTCTGGCGAGCCAGAGCCGCACACGGAAACGCCGTTTACCTTCCCGCTAGTAAGCGGTTCCTGTTTATCTACTTGCACCCGGGGGTGCTTTCGAACTGCTAGGTTGGCAGGCGCTGGGACCGAGCAGCGGGAGCGCACCCCACCGCGGGGATTCGAACCGCCGACCATGCGATCAGCAAGCCCTAGGCGCTAAGGCTTTTACCCACAGTGCCACCCGCGTCCCGCTTGCAAACTACTCCCCCCCCCAAAAAAACACACACACATAAAAGTACATACAGCCACAGGCAACTGAAAATTGGTAGGATTTGATTAGTCTAATCAATGGACATTTTGTCTCCTCTCATTGAACCTGATGGGGAAAGGGAATTCAACCCAAATTGGAATGAGTGGTGGGAATTAAAGAGGCAATCTCAAGCCACAGTCAAGGTCAGTTGGTGGGTCTGTCCCAGTAAGTAAGTGAGCAAAGAAAAGAAAAGGACAGAAGCAGTAGAGCTGGAACCTGACACCAAGCAGAGAACATAGCCAGCAACTGAAATGACTCACAGAAGCTTAGGACTTCTCTGGGTAAAGTAAGTGTCCCAGAGGTAGCCTTCAAGAAAGTTCTAAAACCAATTCAGTAGGATTGCTGAGTACCTAACAAAGCAGAGTTTGCTGGCACTGAAGATTACAGCAAAAGTCCTGATAGAAGAGGCTGTGGACCTGAGTGAAGAC